ACAGAGGGATAGAACCAAGATCCTGTGAAGTGTTAATACCACTTTATGATGCTTTGGTAAGGCCACACTTGGAATACTGCATTCAGTTTTGGTCTCCATGATGTAAAAAAGATGTGGAGACTCTAGAAAGAGTGCAGGGAAGAGCAACAAAGATGATTAGGGGACCGGAGGCTAAAACATATTCCAACAGATGCTAGAATTGGGTATGCCTAGTCTTGATGAAAATAAGGGCTATGATAGCAGTGTTCCAATATTTGAGGAGCTGCCACAAAGAAGAGGGAGTCAAGCTCTTCTCCAAAGCACCTGAAGGCAAGACAAGAAGCAATGGGTGGAAACTAATCAAGGAGAGAAGCAACCTAGAACCAAGGAAAACTTTCCTGACAGTGAGAACAATTCATCAGTGGAGATCACAAGGATCGTTTGGCTGCCATTGCGGAAGAAATATCAAATTGAACATTGCAATTTTTGGCAATCTCTTTTCTATCTCAGGGACATTCTTTTGGCTTTATTCCAAACATCACAAGATTCTGAGTCACCTCCTCGAGATCTGTCAAAATCTCAAGAGAGTTAGCGATTCCATGAGATTTTTTCCTGCTTTTAAAACAAAGGCTGCATTTAAGTTTGGAAATTCCCCACTCATGTTTTGCAATCTACATTGCATGACTGCTCCCCTTTAGGAGTTCTGGACTTCCTCCATCCAAAAGCTGGTTTGATGCAAGCTATCTCAATTTGTGCATCTTTGTTTTCTGTTTATGTACGTTTCGCACAATTCTGACCCGTTCTAGGAAGGAAGACAAAGCTGAAAGGGAACGATGTAGCTATACGCCTCCTGTGCGTAGTAAATTATTTTCAGTTAAATTTCTCACCACATCTGCGCCTGTGAACTTTGGAAGGAAACTATAGGCGATATCTTCAACTCACACGCTTCCGCTGTCTTTTAAAGATTAACTTCCTGCCTAAACATTAGAGCCCCATAATGGTTCTTTTGAGAAGGAAAATAACACACACACAAAGCCTTGCAGAGAAATGCAGAGAATTCTGCTTGGTTCATAGGCTGTAACAGGTAGACTGCAGTTTTAGGCTTCCGGGTTCACATAAACCAATGAGGATGCAAATACGGTTTTCTAGCCATCTTTGAATTTTAATGAAAACCCAGTTTGCTGAGATGCTGAACTGCTCTAATATAGGCATCTCCCAAATGAACAGATGATCTTCTACATCTGAAAATTTAAGGCCCAAAACTGAAAAGGTGTACGCACCTTTTGGGCACTTCCTCTTTGAATATTGGTAGGGAAATTAATATTAACAGATTAATAGAGTTGGAAGGTGCCTTGTAGGTCATCTAGTCCAGTCCCCACTGACCAAGCAGGAGACCCAAAACCATTTCTGACAAATGGCGATCCAATCTCTTCTTGAAAGTCCCAAGTGATGAAGCTCCCACAACTTCCGAAGGCAACTTCTGTTCCATGGGTTGATTGTTCTCACTGTCAGAAAGTTCCTCCTTATTTCAAGGTTGA